AGGCTATCAAAAATACCTGTGGCGCTGTGAGTGAAGGGATCATCATCGAATCTGCTTTGATCTGCTGGTTTCAACGCTTTGCAGCAGAAGATATAGCATAGAGTATTAGGAGGCATATTATCCATTCGTTCATCAAGGAAATCGAATGATATCGCCTTCGATGGTGAGCATCTTTCAAAGCTTTTCAAGCTCTTTTTCATACATACGCAGTTTACCTTGACTTCTCATATTTTCAAAAATTGTAGGCCCATACATGTTCTTTAGCCGGAAATCTGCGCCAGACGCAGATTTTGAATGATGCTCGCGTGATGTTAACTCTGAAACTCTCCGTGCAGCGCTGACCACCATGAACGAATTGTAAACAACTCATTCCTTGAGCTTCTCCATATAAAAGCGGTGGCTTTGGAAGGAGAATTTCTTTGCGTAGAAGAATGAAAGAGAATTTCGGTTATTTACTGAAGTTATCATAGTCGGGTAGTTACCACGAAGGACAGTCAGTTTCGTCACCTACATTTCTGAGTAGAAATCTTCGCAAATAATTAGGTAAAAGCTTGAGAAATCGATGATCTGTACAATTAGCCCTCTTTGGCGCTGATTTCATGTAAAAATAGATATTTTGCTCACTTTTTAGGCATAAATCCATGGTCTGCTTATGTACTTCTTAATCAAATTCACGACTTCGCGAAAAGTACAATCGCCGACCCACTTATAGTCAAAAATGGCGTGGACCCGTTTGACGCGCAGTTTTTGAAGTAATCAGTTATCGGATCGGCTTGGGCTTTGCACAGTTTACCTACATGCTGACAATGTGCTATGGCCAAAGTTTTAGCTCAGGACCTTGACTACAACTCGCTCTATGAATTTCGTGACAGACAGACATAAACACACACAGACAAACACACAGACGCATAGCGCTTTATTATAAGTCATGATCATTAGAAAATGCTTGAAGAGCCTTTTCGAATGACATGTCATTTGTCCAAGGGCTTTGGGTGCAGCAGCACAAATCGGATGGAGTTCGAAAAGACTTCTCGGAAGCTCCGCTCGCAGGACTATAGCAGCGGATTTGCAAAGTTGCAGATCAACAGGTCACACAGAAAAGTTTACCATTGCTGGTTGTTTCTTGTTGATCAGAGGAAAAACAAAATTGTAAAAAAGTCAGGTGTCCCATCATTTTCCGATCATTTCCAGCTGTTTTTCTATATAAGCGTCCAACAGAGATGTCGTGATAGTGTTGCGAAGTTAAGGAGACTTTCTCAGCAATTACTAGAGCCACGTTGTGCCAAGCCCTATCCGTGGATTATAAATAAGCCGCCTATTT